AACGTTAGGAAACAAAACTTCCAGAACACGGGCACACAGCCCGGAAGACCCACACCAGCCACAGTAAAGCTGAGTTTGCATGATGTGAGGCTACCAGATTTGGGTTGCAAAATCCAAATGAGTGTTATAGCAAAAAGAAAAAAGACAGCAAACACTAAAAAAGAAAAAACCAAAACATATTATATTACGTACAAGAAATATAATTTAATCTTAAATAGTTAAACCTAGACACGCAAAATAACAAACATATATTTTGATTATAAGAGCTATCTCATAAGCAGAAAATATCTGTCATCCAAGACTAAATTGGGTAGCTCTATCTTCTCAAACTGATCTTTGTTAAGTAAATCCATAGTTTTTCATGTAGTTTTAATATCTAAATAAATATCTAACAGATATTAAATGAAACAAAATTAATAGAGCAGGCCCATATTACATGAATAAATGTCCATTCACTTTACACTTCCAATGTAATGAAATTAATAACCAGACCTTTTTAAAACACTGTGGAGACCAGTAAACATGAAAAAGAATATTTTGTTGATCTTAAGATCAAAAGGGATTCACTTAATATTTTAAGACCCTCTGCTATTGATTGCTAAGATAATACAATTCCTTATTTCAGACTTCTCCTTAGTAATATCTTTTGTTTTTTAAAAAATATTGAAGATTTAGTATTATCTAAAGCATATTTCAGTACTAATAATAATTCAGGAATTTTAGATGCTGCTAAGATATCCTGGCCAATTTGCAAAATAAAAAATAATTAGCTGAACACACTGCCATTTCACAATTGTAGGTAATGCAAATTCCTTCTGCAATAAATAGTTTGAATGCTTGATTGGGAGTAAGGGGAACTAAAGTATTAGATCACCATTCCTAATGTTATACATGCAGCAGATTATGAGCAAAATAATTGATGGATTTCTCAGCTTTGCTGTCTTTTCTGATCTGCATGTCACCAGTAGGATAAACATCCCCCAATCACAGTGCTGCAGCAGGAATGGGAAGATCTGTTTGCAGGACTTGTTCACCTCCTGAGAACTCAAGTCAGACTGTCATGAGTCATTTACATTCCACAATATACAAGCACAATAAATAAGATTTCCTCAAAGAGGAAAAAGTATGCTTTTAAAAAACATGCGGGTAAAAAGAAACAAATCTTCCTCAGTGTAATGCAACTTAGTTTCAGGCTTGCTTGCTTGATAAAAACTGCATTGCTTCTGGCTTAAAATAAACATCCCATGTAATACAGCAATTCTTGAAGCCAGGCAAACTACGTGTGTGTTACTGCCCAAAGGTACACATGGATCGCTGAACATCTCAGAAATACTCTTATTTTATGTGATTTATTACCAGATTGACCATGTCACTGAATCACAGAGAGAGATCCAAAACATACTATGTTCTGAAATGCTTTTCAGCTATGAACAAAACTCTGAATCTTAACTTTGTTTTGTCCAGTAACCATTTAAGAGAGCAGATAAGTATAATACTGGCCTCTGTGTAGACTAGACTGTTTTGAAAAATAGAGACTAGTTCGTTTCTGGCATGAATTGAAGTCCAAGGGCCTTGATTTCAGACAACAAATGTGTCTAGGCAGATTGCACAGCCACTGAAAATCCACTTCCATAGCAACACCACAGCTACAGAACCTGTTCTCAGAAAGCCACTGTTTTTTTCTCAAATAGCTAATGACAGTTGCTGGGGAATTAATTCCTTGATACAGCAGGCAAAACTGTCATAACATAATTTTCTATATGAAGGTCAGCTGCCTCAGAGTCATGGGCACCTATTTATTGTAGACACATCAACCAACAACCATATTACTATTCTCTCTTGCAGTACTGTGCCCTGCTATAAATGGTCAGAAGAAAATACTTGACCTGGGTCCTATGAAGCCAATAGAACCATTCTGAATATGGATGAGTAAGAATTTTAGCATTAACAGTTACCATTGTTCTTTACCAGCTACCCCAGTTGGCACTCATTCAATTTATTGGGATTACAACTCCCATCAGCCTCAACATGGAAGTGCTTGGTGATGAATGATGGGAGCTGTAGTCCATCATATCCGTAGGGGTGCTGATCTAGGAAAAACTCTCTATGAAAAACAGTCTCAGTAGTGTTGGCTGTTTCTGCAGATAGTGTATGTAGGGATTGTATAACTCAGCAGAGCAACCATCACATTTCAGAGACTGAGCTCAGTCCTGTACTGTAATGTACAAATAAGCAGTGTGAAAATGCCAAGAATATTTCTTCAACACTAACCAAACACATTTGAATCCAACAGAATATCAGATATTAGACAATCAGTTTGTATCACCTTGTATCAGACCTGTGGCAAGATTCCCAATGTTCTATTTTTTAATTTAAGAACACATAGATAAGAAATGAATGCAAGACTTATAAGAGTAGAAGCATAATTTATTTAGTAGAGTACAGGTAGTTCTCGCTTTAACAACTTTGAACCATCATTAGACTGCCTCAAAAAAAGTGCTTTAAGACCTGCACTCACATGACCATTGCAAACCGTCGCATCCCCAATTATGTGATCGTGATTTGTGACCTTTTATGACAGTCATAAAGTGAATCACTGCGGTCATTAAGCAAATCACGTGGTTGTTAAGTGAATCATGTGGTTGTTCAGCGAATTCTGGCAAAATGTCCATCAGAGAAGCTGGATTTGCTTAACTACCATGTGATTTGCTTAACAACTGCGGTGATTCACTTTATGGCCATTGTAAAAATGGTCGTAAAATCGGGTCAGGTCACGTGGTGACTTAACAACTGCCCCACTTAACAACCAATTTCCCAGTCCCTATTGTCATTAAATGAGGACTACCTGTACTGTATTTTTAAAAACATATTTTGAATAATCGCCAAAGCAACGACCAGGAACCCTTTAAGTCTTGTGTGCTGTCTTGCAATGTCATATAGTAACACAGTTTTGGAAGGCTGTCAATGCTGTTTGGGGGACAACAGATATCTTGGTGTTTGTGAGTCCTGTGTCTGGAATTCCTGCCCAAAAAGGAGCTTTTACTTCTTAGGTCAAAGTTTTAGAGGAGTCTGTGGGCTACAAGATGAAATCAATTCTGGATATAGATACACATAATACCATTTATAATCTTCTGTTGATCTGAGTGTTGAAAGTTCCACCTAAGCTTCTGACGGCAGCTTTACTATAGCCCTCCTGTTTGCAGCGTGAGAGGTTAGGGGAGACAAAGGAAGGTTGGACGCAAAGCAGGGCTTCATTGTAAGTGTTAGCTCTGTTTCAAGTAGCAGTGGGATCATAAAGTTCAGAAAGTCACCCAGATAAGCTACCTGCAAGGATGTTAAAGGACCACAGAGGTTTCATGTGGACCATAATTAGCTTTTCTTCCTTGAATGGGGAGAAACTCTCACTAGCATAGTCAGTGACCTTTATTCTTTTAGACTTTCTTCTCTATTTGTTATATTCAGAATTTCAAGTTACAATGGCCCTTTCTGCATGACACTTATTCTGATTTAGGCAAGGGGGTTAGCATGTCATGTGAACACTCTAACCCTAGCCAATAGGGTGAGGGTTAGAAGGAATTAACTAATTGTCCTCAGTTAGCCATGTTGCCTAAGCAAGGATGACAGTATTGACAAAAGTTGTTCCCTTGTTTAGTTGCTGGAACTGCAATGAATTCTAGAGCAGCTTCATAAAAGTGGGACTCCTCTGCCCCCATTTTATTTTATTCTACACCCTAGCCACATGTGGTGAGACGAACAAGGAACAGAAAACGGTAGGGAATGGGCAAACTCCTCCAATTCATTTCCAATTCATTTAATTTTTTTTTTAGTTTTAAGAATTTTGACAGCCTTAACATCTCCTTTAGGGTTCCTCCTTTTCACGGGGACATCAGTAATCATGTGCTGCCAATGGATGGGGTTCATCAATTGCGCAAGTGAGCAGCTGACTCTGTCAAAGGGAAAGCAGTGAGACAAGGGGTGATGCAGTCTGAATAATATAATCTATAGGAACAAATAATATAAAATGGAACTCAGTTTTAATAATGAAAGTAATATTTCTGTTATAAGAACCAGTTATATTGTACCTTAATGAGAACATATCATGTTGTTATTGTCTTTATGCTGGCATTCAATAAGAAATAATCCATTTAAGAGACGCGGTGAGGATTCAAGTCTTCTCTCTCATGCTCACAGATGATTCAGTAAGAATATAAATTAATGGGGAATATCAACCCTTTTTCAGAACAGACTAACAAGAAGCCAGCCTTTCCCATCCTGAGACCTTCATGATCTGTCAAGACTAAAAGTAACAAAATTCCTGGCAAGATCAGACAAACTACAGTTCAGCAGGCTCTAACTAGAACAGATACTTAACGTATAGGAAGACCCACCTCCCCACTCTATTCCAGGATGAAAAAAGCTAGAAAGATACTTGATTTGTTGCTCACTTACTTTCCTTACAACTAAATTGCAACGGGGCACTGCTATACATGAAGGAAGGGAAAAGCAGAGAGCTGTCGGTTGTCCTCACCGTCCCTGGCATTCCCAGGGCAAGATGCTGTCCGTGGCACGGGAGAAACACAATCCTGCACAGCTGCTGCTAGTGCCATGCTTGAAGGTGCGACCAGTTCCATGCCAGCGAATAAAGAAACAGTGCCATCTGGATCACCCCTTGGGGGCCTATCTTCTTGGGGGTCAGAGTCTGGCAGTCTGCCTTCTGCCCTCTGCTGGCTGAGACCAGGTGGCAGCATATCCAGTTGGCCGCAGGACAGAGATTCTGGCATCTGTCCTGTCGATAGGGACGTGTTACTCGTGATGAGCTTGGGTGCTTGGGAGGGCTGCAGTGACAGGTTAATGGGCTTCAGGACAGTGTCTTCTGAGAAAGGCGCTGTATTTATCAGCAGGTCATCAGTATGTTCCAGTGAGGTCTTGGCAGAGAAACAGGAGGCAGCAACCAGGGGTGGATTCTTGGAAGTGGAATGGCTTCGGCAGAGGGCTTCAAATTGACGCAGTATCTGTTAAGTGGGATAGAAGAGAAAAAAAGAATATGCCAAGAACGAGAAGAACAAGGGCAGTAGGGAAGAAGAGATTCCTCCTAAAACATAAGAAGGCAACAACACTCAAGGAGCTCATACAGACACTTTCGCACACTGGATTTGTTTTCACTCATTATGGTCTACATTATTTTATTTTCAATTTGAGCATCTAGCTTAGAAAGTGCATATATCAGTGGATTCCCATCCAGGGACTGTGAGATCCATTCCTATTTAGCTGCAACAAAGATGCAGTTCTGGATGCTCTCATTTTACTAACTGAGGGGGCAAGCACTGTCTATGATGCCCTAGTCTCTTAGGGTTTCTGAAACTCTGAATCATTTGCAGCCAATGCTATTGCTTCTATTAAAGCTAATATGATTAGCTATAGGACCGAAACTATCTCTAGGATGCATGCTCCTCCAAAGCAAAGTCTCCTAGAGTGCATTAAATATACAGAGATGGGAGATACTCAGGGTTTTTGTTTGTTTTATTGCTTTCAAGTCGACCTTGATTCCAGGTGGCTAGATGAGCAAGTCCCTGCTATTTTCTTGGCAATATTTTC